CCGGGGCACACACGGGCGCCAGCCACAGACCCAGCCCAGGGGCCGGGGCTGGTCCCTACCTCCAGCAGCTGGGCAGCACTGGGCCGGGTCTCCGGGTTCTTGTCCAGCGCCGTCTTCAGGAAGTCTCTGAACTCCAGGGACCTTAAAACACAGCCGTTGGCAAGAAGCTCAGAAGAGGGAAAGGCCTCGAATGCCACAGGGGGCTGCTCAATCTCTTTGCAGGTTGCATCCCAGTTTGCAACTGGCCATGATCAGTGTTTCACTCCCAGCAGGGGAAACCTGGTGCTCAGCTATTCTGACTATTGTAAGAGAATCAGCAACGTGGTCACATGAGGGACTAGATTTTGCCTTACCTGTGATGGCAACAAATGGCAGAACTGAATGCCAGCCACTGTGCCCCATGGCTAAGGTAGAAAGATAGGAGGGGACACCAGCAGTGATCCTCCAAAGGGAGCCCATGGGTGGAGCTGCTCATGGACAAGGATGCTCCAGGACCCATTCCCACAGCTGCAGTGTGCAAGGATGGCTGTGAAGGACCAGGAACCCCATAGGAGGGCACTCTCAGCCTGCAAAGCACAGCTTGGAAATACAGCGCATGTCCCTGATCCAAATCTGGCTTCTGAGCAGCTCCAGAGGAAGCTCTCCCATCCTGCCTGGGTTTGAGCAGCAGGCTCCTGCCTGCTACCTGAGCACCTGCAACACCACCTGTGACTTCAGTGCACTCTCAGTAATGCTGGCTATCATGCAGCAGGTTTTGTCATCATTTAAATAAATAAATAAATAATAATTAACTGGTTGGATTTTTTTTAAATGAAGAAGAGGCTTTCCAGACTCCAGGAAAGAAATTCTGGAGCTCTTGACCATCTCCAGATTTAGAGGTAAATTTGCCTTTCATATAAGATCAGGATTTATGAAAACAGCCAAGGGGTCACCCTCGCTTCAGCAGGGCTGTGGGTGGGCAGCAGCTCCCCCTGTGCTGCCTGAACACCGCTCACAGTGCAGGCAGTGCTAAGCCTTCAGCCAGTGACGCTCCTGGGGCCCCTAGCACACAGCTGGACCTAGAATGCAGCTACAATCCTACAAAAGGTCCTCATATTAAACAACACTGCTATAAAAGACTATTTTTTCTCTCCTGAAATACTGCATAAGTTGAGAGGCGCGTACTCCAGGCTTTGCTGCCCAAAACCCCTCACCATTTGGAAGGGCAGCTGAGCGTGGGGGGGTCAGATTTGGCAATCTTC